TGGGGACCAGCAGTTAGCGTAATGGCTATGTTGCTGGACTCACATGTAGTCGGCTGTGGTTCAAGTCCCGGACCCGGTGGCTTAAACTCACGCCGAGCACGAGTGCGCATGTGCCCAAGATCCGGAGAGGAGAATGGAGGAGAAGGGATTGTGGCATGGCCATCCCCCCTGGGGGAGTGATTTCTCACTTTCTGCTTTTCTGTCTCTCTCTGTCTTTCTGGGGGGTGCGTGTGCCCGATAGCAAAAACCTCTCAAAAAAAAAAAAAAAAAGAAAAGAAAAATAGGTCATGACTTTCCTGACAACCTAATAGATGGACTCCACATGGACAGCTGCACAGTGAGTTCTGGACCTGGCGGCTTGAAAAACACACTGGACATATGTGTATACACGCCCAAAATCCTGAAAGGAGAAATGGAGGAGAAAGAATTGTGGCATGACCATTCCCCATGGGAGGTGCTTTTCTCTTTCTCTCTGTGTGTCTCTCTTGAGTAAGTGTATGTGCCTTCTAGCAAATTCAAGCCAAAAAAAAAAAAAAAAAAGAACCATTCTCTCAACCTTATCCCATTCTAGCCAAAGCCTCCCTTTTGCTGCTGTTCTTCACAGCAAGACATTCCCAAAAAGATGTCTCCATTCAGTATTTCCATTTCTTTATTCATTCTTGGATTTCCTGTACTTGATAACTTTTGTTCACAAGGTCATTTTAAAGAGAGATTATGGGGACTGGACGGTGATGCAGCAGTAAAATGCAGCACTCTGTGAGGCTGACCCACATGGGAAGGTTCTAAGTTCTCATCCAGAGGTCCTCCTGAGTGCACTGGGCACACACATGCCCATGGTCCAGGGATGGCGGAGGATGGCAGTAGATGATGGTGTCAAGAACATTGTTGAGGGTGCTGTTTCTGACTCTCTTTCTCTGTCTCTTTTGCTCATGGAAGAAATAAATAACTTGAAAAAAAATTTTAAGAGAAAAATTATTTTGGAACTGAGGAATCTCCTATAAACCTTGAGTTGTTCACAGAAGGGCTACACGGAAGTTGCCTCAGCTGGAAAGACACATCCTAGCCCTCCCTAAATGCCTTCTTTACTTTGGGTCTCATGGTAAGGCCCGTCTTCCCAGAGATGCCTTCCTTGAGTAATCTTGGTTCTCCCTGTTCCCATCTGTTTGTGCACTTGTATAATTATTTGATTATTCTCTTGTCTACTTAACCTTTTTTTTTTTCCCCAAAGGTTTTACCATAGGGCATGTGTGCTTACCAGAGAGAAAATGAGAAATCACACATCCCCCCCGGGAGGGATGTCCACACCACAGTTCTCCTCCTTCAGTCTCCTTGGGATTTTTGGCATGCACACATATAATTTTTTTAAAGAATTATTTTATTTATTCATTCACTTATTTTAATTTGACTGGAGAAAGACAGACAGAGAAAGTGAGAAAGGAAGTCACCCTGTCTGGGACTCGAACCGTGGTTGACCATGTGGAAGTGTCCAGCAGCTTAACCACTGCGCCACCTGCTGGCCTCCAACACATGATTTTCAGGCCACTGTCTCCAGGACTTGAACTATGGTCAACCAAGTGGGAGAATAGTACCTTAACCACTATGCCATGTGCTGGCTCCAATGTCTACTTACTTAAAAAAAGAAATTATTTCCCCCCACTTAACCATGAGTTAATGAGTACAGGGAACACATCTCTCTAACTATTGTGTTTCTAGTTCCTGCCATAGTAACTGGCACAGAGTAGGAATTCAAAAATTATTTCTTGAATAGAAACCAATTTTTTTCCCTAAGAATTACTTTTTTAAAATTTTACTTTATTTATTTTAATTTGACCAGAGAGGAACAGAGTGTGTGTGAGAGAGAGAGGAAAAGTGAAAAAGCAAGCCGCCAAGTTAGGGACTTGCACTGTGGTCGGCCATGTGGGAGTCCAGCGCCTTTAACTACCCCTCCACCTGCCAGCCTCGAATCAATGATTTTGTAATAAATGTTCTTCATGACTAAAGTATGGAAGAAGAGTATAAAAATACTTTATGTGAAAAGGGAAACTAATGATTACATATTTTTTTCTCAAGTCTCCAAATAGTGTTTATAGATTTCTGCATTTTAACAAAAATATTTGAATGATTATCCTCATCATGGAGTATGTTATTTGCCTAAGTGTCTTTGAATTTTTTCTTAAAGTTGCTTTAAGTTGAGGTCTTTTAAGCTTAAATATTAAAATTTCCTGCTGTTGTTTTTATGTATAATTCTGTATTGGTGTCTTTGTCTTGAAGAGTAAGTTTCAAATAAATAGCTTAGCATTTTGGTAGTCTCTTTCCTAAGTTTGTAGCCTAATGTCTTAGATTTTTGGCTTTGATTTCATTCTTTTTTTGTAAGAAAATAAAGGAACATTTTATTTTCGCAGGGAATCAGTATCGAGCAAGTTACTTCTTACAGCCAGAACTCACAGCTTCACAGCTGGCCTTCAGAGATCTACTGTGGGATGCTAAGGCAGGCACTGTAAGTAGTTATTATCAGCAAAGGTGGGACTTTTCCAGGTTTTGTCATGGTTGCAAGTACATAAATAACATGTAAGTTGATTAATGCACTGCAGAAATCAAAAACTTGATTCCATATTGTAGTTTTGAAACAGTGATGTTTTGATAGGTAAGGTGAACTTGGACTTGTTACCGTGACTGTATCTTGTTTCTCTTCTCCATGTGGAAAGGAGATAATGCTAGGTTTCTATAGTAATCATGCTTTGCCTCTTCCAATACAAGGTTCTTGTGAGCATTACATTGTACCTGTGAAGGTCTTAGAACATTGCCTGGCACGTAGGAGCTCGGTCAGTGTTAGCCAGTGTCACCATGTATGGCAGGAGTACTATAATATTATGCTAATTAGGTAGCAATGAGGAAGCTGGCAGTACTTTCTGATTATACTTTTCTGGCCAGCGCCAAGAGTAAGGACTCCCAGTATCCGAAATGCTCTTGATAATTCATTCTGTTCTCCTCCTTTTGAGTTGACTTAAACCATTTGAGAGCTTGTCACTCCCCTTCCTATTTACCTTCTACCTCCCCCTGCCTTTCCCCACAGACTCAAGAGGCAACGGCAGTGTGCCAGGATTGGAGGAGTGTTGGTGCAGTATTTTAGTGCCCTCTTTCCTCTCAGCTTGAACATTGCCTGGAACCTTCTTTATTGCAAGTGAAGATAGATGTATTTCATCTTTCTAGCATACTAGTACTTGCAAAAATGACAGTTTTATGAACTTGTACCCAGAGAACTATTTCATTCTCATTTCTTAAACTGAAAAGGTGACAAACTGTTAGATACTACCTTATTTTTTTACAACAATGTTACTTAAATAAAAAGGCTAGTGATCATAAAGTAGAATATAAAGTTTATAAAGTTTAATTAAAGCTATTCTTAAAATAGAAAAAAGAAAAACAATGCAGCACAGTGCTTGTGCCTATAGTCCTAGCTTCTTGGGAGGCTAAGGCATGAGGATCGTGAGTTTGAGGCTAGCCGGGCAACGTAGTGAGAGCCTGTCTATAATAATTGAATGAATGAATGAATGCCAGTTTAGTTGTTTACAATCTGAACTATACCTGTAAAGTAGAATTTAATAATCACATCAAATGGTGTATTCTCTTTTCTTTTCAGAGAGATTTTGTCTATAGAGTTATGTACACTTGCTGGAGAGACAGGATGACAGAAAGTGAGAAACCACCCTCAGGAGGGATGACCATGCCGCAATCCCTTCTCCCCCATTCTCCACTCATGATTTTGTGCATGCACGTTTATGTGCCCAGCTTGGGTCTTAAGCCACCGGGTTCAGGACTCAAACCATGGTTGACTGTTTGGGGGTCCAACAACATAACCATTACTCCATCTGCTGGTCCCCATTCTCTTTTTGAAACATCTACATAAGAAACCAGTGAACACTAAATAATAGCTTAGAATCAAAAGGAGGAGGAAGTGGCTAGATATTAATGCCAGGTGTCATTGGTTACCTACACTTACTCACATGCTGGGGGAATGAACCTGGAGACGGGAATACAGGAATTCCATAGCCAGGTCATATATTTTACTGATAACATTGACTCTTTTTTTTTTTTTTTCTCTAAGAGAGATCTTTGCTACAGGGTTCATACACTCACCAGAGAGACAGAGAGGGAAAATGAGAAATCACTTCTTAAGGGGGGTGGTCACACTGCAGTTCTTTCTCTTCCATTCTCTTCTCAGGATTTTGGGCATACACGCACATGTACCCAGTGTGAGTTTCAAGCTGCCAGGTCTGGGACTTGAACCATAGTCAGCCATGTGGGAGTCCAGCATCTTACTCATTATGCCACCTGTAGGCCCTTCTTTTTATCACAATTTTCATGTATGTAAGAAAAAAATGTGAGCCAGCAGGTGGTGTGGAGTTTTAAGGCAGCTGGGTCCCACATGACCCATTACACTGTTCCAGTTCCAGACCCAGCAACTTGAAAATCACACTAAGTACTTGTGTCCACGGGCCCAAAGTTCTGAGAGGAGAATGGAGAAGGGATTGCAGCACAGCCATCCCTCCTGGAGAGTGATTTCTCACTTTCCCTCTGTCTCTTTTTTTCTCTCCTTGGTGATTGTATACAAACAAAATCAAAAGAGAATAAAAGAAAAAAAAGTAATTATTTCTAATAAAACTTTATGAAAAATGTACCTGAGTGACTGGTTGTGATCTTAAATGAAAAATTTTTTTCATTTGTATACTTTTCTCACATGTGTATGTGTTTGTGTAAACTTTTTCCTTTATGCTTTGGGAAATGGATTGGTGTTATAAATCATAAAAATAAACATTTTTGGGGGGGCCGGCAGATGGCATGGTGGTTGAGGGCACTGGACTCCCACATGACCAATCACAATTCGAGTTCTGTACTTGGCAGCTTGCTTTCTCACCCCCCCTCCCATCACTCTGTCCCTCTCTGATCAAATTAAAATAAATAAATAAAGTTACAATAATTTTTTTAAGAGGTTTTTGCTATAGGGCGCGTGTGCTCGCCAGAAAGACAGAGAGATAGAAAGTGAGAAATCACCCCCCAGGGAGGATGGCCACACCACAATCCTTTCTCCTCCATTCTCCTCCATTCTCCTCATGGGATCTTGGGCATGCACGCACATGTGCCTGGCGTGAGTTTAAACCACCGGGTCCGGGACTGGAACCGTGGTCGACTACATGAGAGTCCAGCGACAAAGCCATTATGCTAACTGCCAGTCCTGAGTTAAAATAATTCCTTAAAAATAAATAGAAATTAGCTTCTTTTTAATTACTGATTTTTCTTTCAGATTAAGTCAAGACCAAGTCGTGTTTCATTGATTCTGACTCTGTGGAGCTGTAAAATGATTCCTCTTCCAGGAATGAGCATACAGGTTCTGAGCAGACATGTACGCCTCTGTCTGTTTGATGGTAATAAGGTGAGTTTACTGAGAAACTAAATCAGTTCACATCACAATGATGCAAAATCATCTAGTCGTGTGGCTTTTTGGTTTGTTTTTTGTTGTTGTTGTTGTTGTTTTTATTGAAGTTTTTCTATAGGGTATATGCACTTACCAGAGAGAGGGAAAGTAAGAAATCACTTCCCTGGGTGGATGACCACACCGAAGTATCCTGTACTCTACTTTCCTCTTGGGATTTTGGTCATGCACATACACACACCAGGCTTATTTTTAAGGTACTGTGTCTGGGACTTGAGCCGTGCAGTTGGCTATGTGGGATCCATCTGCCTTCACCACCATACCACTGACTGGCCTGAAAAATCATTTTATTAATGTTACATATTAAAAGTAAGCTGCAGTAAACATGTAGTGTCTCTTTCTCTCCTAATCACTTCCTCTTTCTTTTTCTGTATGTATACTTGTATATGTAAGTATATATAAAATAATACGTGGTGGAGTGTAAACTGCACTGGTTCTGGTGATGGAGGTTTAACCCTTGGCTCTTTCAGTTACTAAGCATGTGATACTGGTACATCACAGTCTGTTCCTCTGTACCTGAGTGTTTTTCAGCTATAAAAATGTACTGATGGGAGCCAGCAGGTGGCACTGGGCTCCCACATGGCTGACTATGGTTTGAGACCCAGATCTGGTGGTTTACTTTCATGCTTTCTCTCTTTCTCTCTCTTCCCCTTTGGTGAAGACATATGCCCTATAGCAAATTTAATTTTTTTAAATGATGATAAATAAAATAGAATAATTAAAAAAAAAAAAAAAAAAAACAAGGTGCTGATGGAGCCAGCATTTGGCATAGTGGTTAAGGCACTGGACTACCACATGGCCAACCGTGATTCCAGTCCTGGACCTTGTGGTTTAAAAATCACACCAGGCATGTGTGAGTGCATGCATGCCCAAAATCCCAAGAAGAAAACGGAGGAGAAGGAATTGCAGCATTGCCTTCCCCCTAGGGTATGATTTCGCCATCCCACCTGGGAGGTTATTTCTTGTTTTCCCTCTCTTTGTCTCTGACTTTCTCTGGCACGTTCACATGCCCTATGGGGCGGGGGAGTACTGATGCCTTTCTTCTGTGTTGTATGTACTTCAAGTATTAAGTGTAAAATATTGCATTTTGACAAATGCACACACCTTTATAACCAACAACTCAATCAAGATATGGCATGTGGCTGTCAACTCACCAAGTTTACTTGTGTCCTTTCCCCCAGTCTCCCTGATTCTTCACAGACTGTCTTTCCTCAACAAAGTGTAAATGACTCTTAATTTCTTTTAAATGAGATACAGCCTAGACAGTACTTAAATGGAAATATATATGTGTGTGTGTATATATATATATTTTTTTTTTTTTTTTGAGAGGTTTTTGCTGTAGGGTGTATGCGCTTGTCAAAAAGAGACAGAGAGACAGCAAAAAATCACCTTCCCAAAGGGGAGATGGCCACATTATAATCCCTTCTCCTCTGTTCTCCCCTCAGAATTTTGAGCACACATGCACATGTGCCCAGTGTAAGCTTTAAGCCATTGGGTCCAGGACTTGAATGTGCATGTGTGTCTAAAATCACAAAACGAGAAGTGGAGGAGAAAGGATTATGGCATGGAGGTTTAACCCCTCAGGGGGTGCTTTCTCAATTTTTCTTTCCCTCTAGTGAGTCTAGAGAAATTACAAAAAAAGAAAGAAAGAAAGAAAGAAAGATTCTTTGAAAACATTAATAAAATGGAAAGATGCCTAGTAAAACTGATCAATAAATTTTTGAAAGAACAAAAGAAAACCAATGATCAATATCTGACATGGAAATAGAGACATTATCAAGATCTTGACAACATTAAGAGGATAGTAAAGAGATATTATAAATGACTTTATGTCAATAAATTTGACAACATTAATGGAATAAATTCCTGTAAAACCATAATTTACTAAAACTAGCATTAAGAGGGAACAGATTTTTTTTTAAAGAGGTTTTTTGCTATAGGGCGCGTGCGCTTGCCAGACAGACAGAGAGACAAAGAGACAGAAAGCGAGAAATCACCCCCCTGGGGGGATGGCCACATTGCAATCCCTTCTCCTCCATTCTCCTCTCGGGATCTTGGGCATGCACGCACACGTGCCCGGCATGAGTTTTAAGCCACCGGGTTCGGGACTCGAACCGCAGTCAACTACATGGGAGTCCAGTGACATAGCCATTATGCTAACTGCTGGTCCCAAGAGGGAACAAAATTTTAATAACTTCTGTTAAAGAAATTAAAGCAATAATAAAACATTTTCCCACAAAAAAAATTACTACTAGCCCAGATGACTTCACCCGTGAATTTCTATAAACATTTAAGGGAAATATATTATCAATCTTACACAAACAGTTTTGAAGAATACATAAAGAGGAAATGCTTCCAGGACCAGCAGTTAGGATAATGGCTATGTCGCTGAACTCCCATGTAGTTCAAGTCCCAGACCTGGTGGCTTAATCTCACGCTGGGCGCATGTGCGTGTGTGCCCAAGATCCCGAGAGGAGATGGAGGAGAAGGATTGCAGTGTGGCCATGCCCCCTGGGGAGTGATTTCTTGCTTTCTATCTCTCTGTTTTTCTGGTGAGCATGCATGCCCTATAGCAAAAACCTCTCAAAAAAAAAAAAAGAGGAAATGCTTGGTTTGTAAGGCCTGGAAAAATATGATACCAAAATGTGTCAGGACATTACAAGAAAGAACAATTACAGGATCAATATTTCTCATGAATGTAAGAACTAAAATTGTAAACAAAATATCATGAGATTTAATCTAGTCGTATATAAAAAGGGTACTATGTCATGACCAATTGTAGTTTACTTCAAGAATGTACATGGACACATCTGTGTAACTAACACTCAACATTTGAAAATTAGTCATTATAATTTTCCATATTAACAGAACAAAGAAGAAAATTGTCATCTTCTCAATAGCTATAGGAAAAGCATTTGACAGATAACAATATTCATTCATGATTTTGAGAAAATTCTCCACAAACAAAATAGTAGGGAACTTCCTCAAACTGGTAAAGTGCAATAAGAAAAAAGCTAGAACTAGTGTCATCATTCTTTTTTTTTTTTTTTGGAGAGGTTTTTGCTATAGGGCGCGTGTGCTCGCCAGACAGACAAACAGAAACAGAGAGACAGAAAGCGAGAAATCACCCCCCCCGGGTGGGGAGTGGGATGGCCACGCCACAATCCCTTCTCCATTCTCCTCTCAGGATCTTGGGCACACATGCACATGCGCTAGGCGTGAGTTTTAAGCCACCGGGTCCAAGATGTGAACCACAGTTGACTACGTGGGAGTCCAGCGTGGGAGTCCAGCGACATAGCCATTACGCTAACTGCTGGTCCCAAGTGTCATCATTCTTAATGATGAAATAGTAAACACTTTTTCCTGAGATAAGGAATAAGTCAAGAATGTCCAAGAGATGAAAAGACAACTCAGTTTTTCAAATAGGTAAAATACTTGGAACAGGCACTTTGAAAAAGAAAATATATCATACAAATAAACATGGAGTCTATCTTCCATGAGAAACAAGAAGGCTCACTCTGTGCTCAGCATTGCCCCAATAATCAATTGAAAGAAGACTATTTTAGTCCTATAAAATTATCCTCAGTTGCACATCAACTAAATTAATAAGGAAGTATGAGAATAACAGAGTTACTGTTGAAGACTTGCAAACATTTTTACAGCAGCCTTCTAGAAATATGGATGACAGCATTTTTTTCTCTATTCAGGTTATAAGCAATGCCTTGAAAGTTTAGGGTTTAGAACTAATTCTATTCAGGGGCCTGCGGGTGGCGTGGTGGTTAAGGGCGCTGGATTCCCACATGGCCAACCGCAGTTTGAGTTTCAGACCTGATGGCTTGTTTTCTCTTTTTCCCTTTCTCTGTCTCTTTCTGGTCAAATTTTAAAAATAATAACATAGAATTAAATAAATAAATAATTCTCTCTTTTTTAAAAAAAAGAATAATTTTTTATTCAACTATTTTAAATTTATTTATTTTAATTTAAAACTGTTAGAAATGATTTGAAAACAGAAGGAAAGAAATAACTAAAGTGTTCAGATATTCATACTTTCTAACAGTATCCTGTGCTATTATATAGGGTTTATTTTGATAATGTGTCAAAGAGAACAATGTTCAACAGAGGAGATAAGAGTTTTTGGTGGTATGTACACAAAATAATGAGGAAGTGGAAAAATGCATCTGTAGGACTAAATAGTCATCTTCCAAATACTAGCCAAAGAGGCATTCATCAATTAAAGAACTTAGAATAAAGTAAAAGAAAAAATATGAAAAACCAATACATGTATAAAAAAGTACTCAACATGTAATAAGTCATCACAGAAGTGCAAAGTAAAACCCCAGTGAAAACACAGTGTGTAAAAATCAACACTGAATGGATTAAAGACTTAAACGTAAGATCCAAAACTATGAAACTAATAGAAAACGACAAAGATGAAATGCTTTAGGATAATGGTCTTCATGAAGAGTTTTTAGATAAACCCTAGGCATAGATCCAAAGGAAAGTAAACCAGTATGTAAGTATGTCATTAAAGATATCTGTACTCTAGTGTTCATTGTAGCAGTCTTCAGTGGAGCCAAGATACAGAATCAACCTAAGTGTCTATCAACAGATGAATGGAGATATATGTATCTGTCTATATATTCATACACACAAATACATACACAGAATATATATTATGTATGTGTGTGCATATATATATATATATATATATATTTAGAGAGAGAGAGAGAATATTATTCAGCCATTTAAAAAGAATGAAATATGGTTATTTGAGGCACTATGGCTAAGCCTGGAGGGCATTATGTTAAGTGTAATATTCAACCCTGGCACAAAAAGAGAAAAATCACATGTTCTTCCTTATGAATGGAAACTAAAAAAGACCTCATGGGGCCAGCAGATTATGTCTCTGCTGGTTTCACACTCAACAGTAGTTCGAGTAC